GAAAAAGAAAATAGAAATTCTGCACATCGAATTCCATGGCTCTCCACTTTCTTAGAAAATGGAAAAGTGCAATAAAAGGGATACAGAAAGAAAACATAAGAAGGGGAAAAAGGAACAGCTGGACGCTGCCCTGAGATTTAACATTTTCCCTGGAAAGCTCTACCCAACCCCCACAAGGCTAGGCGCCACCCGCGGTAGGGGCGGATGGACTTGCCTAGAAGCTCTAGCGATGCCTAGGCAGCATTGATTTTTCCAGGCACCCTTCCCAAGGGAAGGATAGTCACTTGTCCTCCCCTCTTGCTGGAATTGTAAATCCGTGGAATAACTCAACATTACAGACTAGTAAAGATTCCAAGATCTGCCCGCTAGCCCCAGATTCCTACAGGTCACCTCGCCTCCGCGAGGGCCTTGCCTTTGCAGCCCAGAAAGGTAGTGGAACCCCGCCCCCCTCCGCCCCCGACAGGCACCGTGGGAGGGCGGGCCTGGCCGTGGGGTGCCGGCTTCCTGGACGCTGCTCCTTAGCGGATCGGGTTTGGTAGTCTAAACTGTGAGCGCATGCAGTGTTGTGGCAATGGGTGGGGGTGAGGAAGAGGCAAACAAGGCAATGGAGATGGCTCAGGAGACCCTCTGAAATGGGACCTAGTTTGGGGGCAGAGACATCTTTCCTCTAGGGGGAAGGCAATATACAGGTTGTGAGGTCAGCGAGAGGACGCCGAAGGCAAATGTCAAATTTCTCATAATTGTTGCGCATCTAGGGAAAAGAGAGTTGGTAATTAATATCTTAAGACCCACGGGGGTGAGAGCCATGTTTACAACTGGCTCAAGGTTGTAAGGGCCAAGGAGATGCCAGTAGCTCTACTAAGAACAGCTCAGTTAACCAAGTGAATCGAATTCTGAAATTCACTTTAAAAGTGCTGCCTTTCCCAAAAAAAGATCTATGACCAAAATGTAGTATAATATAGTTGTACTGGCCCCCTCATCTTGCCATCTCAACCTCAAGGCTCTTAGAAGTATTTCTCTAGGGACCATCAACTAGGCTGTTTACAGCCTGTATCTACCAACCTGGGGGTCCTCGGTTCCTTCCTGGATCTGAAAGAAAGGATGTTGTCTTGGCCCCCCAGCGACCCCACCACATTCCCCCACTCCAGCTCTGCAGCTTGTGGGGGAGGGAGTGTCCTACACAATGCTCTGAGGATTGGAAGGTGATGTCTCTTCCACCACTTGATGTGACCTTTCTGACCTTCTTACAAAGGCTGGTCCCAAGCTTCTTGATCAAGGCCCTCCTTCTGCAGTTTGAATACAGTCTTGGCTATATCAAGGTAAATGGTCCAGAGATGTTCTTAAGGAGGAGAAAGGATTAACTTTAGAAAAGTAAGGTTTTTGTCTGCTGGAAAGCATCTCCAAAGGTTTCCAAGATGCTTTGTTTTCTTTTCTCCAAACAGGTACTTAGAACTGGACAGCAACACACTTGAGAATGTCAGCCCACTGCTAGTCAGACATCTTCTACGACCCTACTGCCAGGTCTCAGCTAGTCTGAGCAAACCTCAACACTTCCCTCCTTCCCCATGTGCCAGCTGACACCTACACAGCTCCACTTCCTCCCACACACACCTGGCCAGAGCCCCCGAAAATTTCCCCCATGAACAGTTATTGAGGAATCAATTCAAGATAGAAAATTCCCTGCGCTCTTTACCAGTATCTCCAAAGCACAATACCAAAAGTGCTCTTTGCCAACGAGGCCCTTGGGACACCTGATTTCTGTCAAGGCAACAGGGGAAAGGGAGGTGGACACACTAAATATCTAGAGTTCGCGAGACCAGCGCGGCTAAAGTGCAGATCACCAGAATTTTATGATAACTTGCCAAGGATAGGTCCCAATCTGCTTCTCAGCCAAGCCAACAGTCTGTCTTTCCAGGTTTGGGGCGACCTCCTAGACCCAGGAGGTGGGGGGAGGGGCTTCTCTGGGTGAAGTTTCCAACTGAAGCCAACAAACGGCGCTATTGTCCCACCGTGGGTCCTAGGAGCCAGTGACTACACCCCAATGGAAGGGAGCTGTAACTCTCCTGGGAGCTTGGGGGAATCAGGAGGAGGCACTTGGCCACGTTCCTGGCCTGGGATCCAGGGCTCTGCACTCTACACACACAAATCCCCAAGGCCCTTAAGGGTAAGAGTGCTGCTGAGTGTGCTTTCTGCTCCCAGAGAGGGTGGAAAGAGCCCCTAGGTCCCACTGTGTTTTGCATCTTTTCTTAAGGGATGCAGACTGCAGGTTCAACATTTTCCAGCCCCTGGCCTTCCACAAGCCTCTGCCATAACTGAAGCCAATGGGCCTATAAGATACATGCTCAGATATTTCTATCAGCCCTCAGTGAAAAATCACTCCGCTGGATGGTGTCCTAGTTTTCACTGCTGGGTGGGCCAAGAGAACCTGTTTCCTTCCAACGCCCCAATATTCCATGTCCACAATAGCAACTCTGCTAGTCTATTGAAATTATAGCTTGTGATCAGAAAGTTTCCTCGGGTTTCAAAGGAGATTCGGTGTGGCATTTACTTGGCATTGTGCAGACCACCCCAAAGCCATCAGACGGAGATCAGTTTAATCAGGGCCACCGCAGGGAAGCCAAGAGGGTGAGAGCAGGTGCCTGATCATAGCAAAAGACCTCCGTAAATCTGGCAGGAGGGGTGTAAGGTGAAAATGAGCTCTTAAGCCAGGACTAGGTGTGATGAAACGACAAACAGCTGGGAATGGTAACTTATCTCCCAGATAGTCTGCTTCTAGGAGAAACAGGGGGCCAGTCTTGTATCCTCTGTATTGGGAAATATGCAGCCCAGGCACTGTCATCACAACGGCTTACTTGGGTCCTAAAACTTGGAAAGAATCATGACATCTGTCAGGCTACTGGACGCCAGGCTGTGCGTCGGTTGGGTAGTTTCCTAAAACGCTCTTCACTTAGCAACAGCCTCAGGAGCCCAGAAAGCCGAGAGAGAGGGCATGAAGAGGGCTGTGGGAGGGCAGGGGCCACTGCACATTAACTTCTTTGGGGGACTGTGGGTCTGCCCAAGGAAATTTGATTCTGTCAGGCAGTTTACCAAAAAAACAGGTGCAGGTGGGGCTTGCTGGATTTTTCTGTTTTCTGAGATGTACCTTCCAGCCCTGCGCGAGCGCACACACATACATATAATCACATATATACCTCTACGCAGATATTTGCCAGAGACTTTAAACGTCTGAAACCATACACCCATTTAATTGATTGAAACCATTGGATAGGAATGACTCAAGGTGGAACACAAACTTCAAAGGAAGGAATCTGGACCTCAAACTTCCCGGAGGTGATGGCAGTTTCAAGGTGGGATTCTGGTGCCAGCAGTCTTTATAAGGCTATGAATGGTGTGCACTGGTCTGCACCCTGCCAACCTTGGCGTCTTACTTTGTAGTGAAGAAGAGAAAAGGAGACGAGCCGGGGGGTGCAGGCATATCAAAATTGCTCCATTCTGCGTGATCGCCTGGAATATCCCCCCACCCTACCCACACACGCAATTTAAGGTTTATATTTTCTGTTCGGTTCCCCACCTTTCCACCAGGCCAAGGGAAGAGGTGGGACTCTCACACTGCGCGGGCACCTTATTTGGGTTTCTGCCACCTCTGCCCGGATGGTTTTTCATTCCCACTTGCCGCCTCAGGCAGCTCGGAGAGTTTCAAACTGTGCCACTTGCTTGAGCTGGCAGCGGCGAATGTCCAGGTTCTCGCTCCCTGCAGCTGGGATTTCTCGAGTCCTTGGCAGACAAGCCATCAAGTGACTGAAGATCCCGCTCTGTTTCTTCCAGGGCTCCAGTCAGCAAGTCTGTAAAACAAGAAAGAAGCGAGGACTCCGTTAGCAGAGTCTGCTCCTGGGGGAGGCAGCGCGGCTGCGCGGAGAGCAGCGCTCGGCGGTGGTGGCAGGTGCGCGGCTAGCTCACGGGGCACGGTGGTCCATCCGGAGCAAGGCCTCGGCTCAGCTCCGGCCACCGTCCCCCCTCCAAGAAACTTTTCTTTCACTCCGAGAGGCTCCGTGTTGCCATGAAAACGGATTTTCCAAGGGGCCCGACCCTCCCCCTCAGGGGCATCGGACTGGAAAACCCGAAATGGCCCGAGAGCAGAAACAAAAAGGGGCCGCTAAGCGGGGGCCGGGAGCGAGCGAGCGGAGGCCAGTTCACCCCTTCTGTCCCCCACACCACCGTGTGCGAGCGCCTCCCTCAGGCTCAGGCAGAGGACCACTGACCACTCGCACTCACGCAAACCCCCGAGTGCCTCAGTGCCCAGTACACTAGCAATCTCGCGCCCTAGCTCCTGATCCCCGCTCAGTCCTGGACGCAGTGGCCCTCCGGATGGATCGTCCCGGACAGCCAGCGACCGATTCCAACAAGGGTTTCTTGGAGGCGCAGCCCAGGGCACCTCCGTTGTGTTTCGAGTGCCCCCAAGTCCGCCTGGGCTCCTGGCGCTCCCCAGTGTCCTTAGCGCTGGTAGCCCAGGCGATCAGAGTTCCCCCAGAGCAGACGGCGGGAAGCTTTACAAGCCGGCCCCAGGATGCGGAGGCGGTCCGCCTTGACAATGTTGCAAAGTTGTTTTCTGAACCCCGCGGGCGCTCCTCCACCCCTCCCCCCAATCCTGCCCGCGCGCCCTCTTTCCCCCTCCTCCCTCACCTCCTCGGGTTTCGTTCTTTCAAACTTTTTGAAACCCTAATTGGTGGTCTAGGAATGGGTCTCAGGGACTCCCGCCTCCTGAATAACTCTCATCACGTCACTCTACCCAAGACGGCTATGGGGGGGGGTGAACGCAAGGGCTCCCCGAACTTTTTTTCCAAGCTGGGCCAAATGGGGGCTCGATGTTGATTGGCCAGGGCTCATCATTGCGAGCCTGTCAATCACGGGGCCTACGGGTGGTGAGGGGCGGGCCGAGCCCCAACCCCCGGGATCTAAGCAGGTATATAAAGAGGCTCGGCAAGCTCCCGGCCAGGCTGCGAATGCGACCAGCTCGAGAGAACGCATCAGGTGCTAGAAGCTCGCGCGTTCTCGCTGACTTCGCGCGGAGCACTTCGGCCGGCCTGCCCTTCCCGCCCGACCTGCCGGCCCAGCGGCCCCCAAGCGCCACTCCGACGGACTCTCCTGGTCTTTTCACCGTGGCCGCTCCAACCCCGGGAGCACCTTCTCCTCCCGCCACGCTGGCGCACCTTCTTCCTGCCCCAGCCATGTACAGCCTGCTGGAGACTGAACTCAAGAACCCCGTAGGGCCGCCCACTCCAGCCTCCGGCACCGGCGGCCCCGCAGCCCCTGGCGGCGCGGGGAAGAGCAGCGCGAACCCAGCCAGCGGCGCGAACGCAGGCGGAGGCGGCAGCGCTGGCGCGAGCGGCGGCGGGGGCAGCGACCAGGACCGCGTCAAGCGGCCCATGAACGCTTTCATGGTTTGGTCCCGCGGGCAACGGCGCAAGATGGCTTTGGAAAACCCTAAGATGCACAACTCCGAAATCAGCAAGCGCTTGGGTGCCGACTGGAAACTGCTGACGGACGCCGAGAAGCGGCCGTTCATCGACGAGGCCAAGCGACTGCGTGCGGTGCACATGAAGGAGTACCCGGACTACAAGTACCGGCCCCAACAGCCGCAGCCGCTGCAGCCGCCGCCGCGGCCAGCAGCCCGGTGGGCGTGGGCCAGCGCCTGGACACGTACACGCACGTGAACGGCTGGGCCAACGGCGCGTACTCACTGGTGCAGGAGCAGCTGGGCTACGCGCAGCCCCCGAGCATGAGCAGCCCGCCGCCGCCGCCTGCGCTCCCGCAGATGCACCGCTACGACATGGCTGGCCTGCAGTACAGCCCCATGATGCCACCCGGTGCCCAGAGCTACATGAACGCCGCGGCCGCTGCGGCCGCAGCCTCGGGCTACGGGGGCATGGGGCCCTCCGCCGCCGCTGCCGCCGCCGCTGCCTACGGCCAACAGCCCGCCGCCGCCGCCGCCGCCGCTGCCGCCGCCATGAGCTTGGGCCCCATGGGCTCGGTGGTGAAGTCCGAGCCCAGCTCACCGCCGCCCGCCATCGCTTCGCACTCGCAGCGCGCGTGCCTCGGCGACCTGCGCGACATGATCAGCATGTACCTGCCACCCGGCGGGGACGCGGCTGACGCTGCGTCTCCGCTGCCCGGCGGCCGCCTGCACGGCGTGCACCAGCACTACCAGGGCGCCGGGACTGCGGTCAACGGAACGGTGCCGCTGACCCACATCTGAGCTCCAGCCTGCGCTCCTAGCTCTTCGTCCCCACCCCGCCCCACACCCCCACGTTGGGACGCCTTGTTGTTTAGCTTTGCTTGCCTGGGACTGTTGCCTTGTACCGAAGATGGGGAGAGGACAGAAAGTTTGGCTGTAGCTGTCGGGTTTTGTATGAGAGCAAAAAAAGTCAGGAGCAGCGGAAATGGGACTTTCTGGGGCTGAGCCCCCCCCCGACCGCTGCCCCCCTCCCCCTTTGTAGGCTGGGAATCGCTGTGATGTTTGCGAAGAAAAACCAGCCCCCTCCTCCTCTTCCCCGGGGTCCTGAGTTCGTCTGTTGCATTTGAAAATGTTGTCTCCTTAGTTTGGTATTAATGGAGGAGTGAGTGAGGCTGGGCCGAGAGCTGCAACGCCCCCACCCGCGGTCGCGTTGCATCTGTTTTCCTCGTGCTTTTTGGGGGGCTGGCCGCGCCGAGTGCCGCGGGAACTAAAGCCAATGTTAATTTATAGCCAGGTGTGCGTGTTTCTCCCGCCTTGCCGCCCCTGGCCGCGGGACAGTTTTCTGTCCAGGCCGCATTTAGGCTGTTGAGTTGGTGATTTCTGCAGTGATCTGTTTGCTATTTTGTCAAGCTAATGTGTTCAGATTTCGTTTGGGTGGTGGGGAAGGGTTTATTTTGTTTCAGGTTTTTCAAGATTTTACTTTTAATTCCTAAATGAGAGATCAATAAATTTTATAACCAACATGATGGTGTCCTGATAATTTTGAGGGCCCGAAACTTTAGGTGCGGGTTGGGAAGGGCACTGACACTTGGTTTCATAACTGAGGTTCCACACCCGGGGCTGAATAGGGCCGGAGCATGATCTGAAATCATTTCTTTTAAACTTCTGGTGATCCAGAATACCACAGCTCCCAATACTCCCAACTGAGAAATTCTCTCCAGTGGAGAAAGAGGTCTGTCTTCTGGGAGCATCTACCCGGAACCCGCCCACGCTAGCTGAGCGGAGCACCGGGCTAGCAGCCCTACACTTGTTGATAGCAGTGCGGAGCGTTCCTGGAAGGAGTGCCTACTTCCGCAGCCACGCGGGGCCGCAGCCAGACACCTGCCGCCGCCGCGGAAACCGACCGAAAGGGGGGCGTTTTTACCCTTGTGCACTGGGGCGGGAAGATACTTGAGCCGAGTTGAAATATTTACAAAACGAAAGCCCTTCGGAAACCGCAATGATCATATTTAAAATGAATGGTCACAGGCATCCCCAGCAGGAAATAAATACATTTCCACCGTGGTAGCTGAAGCGGAAGAGTGAACATTCAACAGTGGAAGATTTGGTTTTAAAAGGTACATTTTAGATTTGTAAAAGAGTTCCAAAACTCCGCCCAAGGCTTGTTTGAAACTTGGCAAAGCAGTTCACTTGTTTTCTAGAACGAGGCTTCCCCCCCCCCATCTAGAGCCTGAACAAGCTTCCTTCTTACCACCTTTCCGTGTACTTTCCTCCAGTCGGTAACCGGTGACCATTTCATTGTGTCCCCAAGGACCCTTCGTTTCACGTCGGGGCCCCAGCGTGTCTGTTTGGGGCCTAGGAAGAAAACAAATAGAGCCAGTGTTTTTTTACTCCCTCCTCAGCTGTTTGAGGTGATTTCCTTAATCCCTTTAATCCTGTTACCTCGCTATCCCAGAATAACTAAACTCGGCCTTTCCAATAAGCTTGGCCTGGTGCACTGTTTTTTATCCTCATCCACTCCTGACCACAGGTTTCTTTGCTTGAGGTCTGTTGGGACCCTAGGCGACAGAGTCCTCCATAAATTGGTCCGAATTCCACGTTTCCAGCCGGCTTCCTTTGTGTGAACCAGCCATTCACCTGCGGGCCGGGGCGGGCCTCCGGGGGGAGGGGCGGGGGCTTTCTGAGGCTTCGGGGGTCGTGCCCGTTTTTTACACATCACTGCGGATCCTGGAGACTAAAGCCCCCCCGCCTGTCCAAGAAAGGTCGGCCACCCCGCCTGTCCAAGAAAGGTCGGGTCTCCCTGGGAAGGCAGCACCACCCCTCCCCCGAAGACGTTTGCACTGCCATCCCCACCCCCCACACCCCATCCCCCACTGTCCAGCATGGGGTGAGGGGGGCCGATGTTGATTTACAGATGCAGTCTGTAATGCCCTCCACCCTGGGCTCCTCCCGGGCCTGCAGCGTTCAGGCTGGGCCTCTTACCATTCCCTCCTCTCTGCATCCTAAAGCAGCAGACCCCCAAGCCTCTCTTGGCAGGTGGGTCCTTCCAGCCTTTACTGCTGTGATTGGAGCAAAGCCACAGGCTGACTGGTGGGTGAGCCTCCCCCACCTCCAAAGTCCCAGCGACCGTAGGAAACTTGTCAAACTCAACACTCTATGCCTATCTTCCAGTCTTTGGCCTTCAATAAAATATCTGCCCGTAGGTTTACTTTCTGCCTTGGTCTGAAATGACTCCAGGAAAGGGTGGGGTACAAGTAAGCAATTCCCCCACCAAGGGGAGGCGGTGCCAACCTGGGAATCAACTCTGACACGGCTTCTGTGGAAGCACCCATTGTGCTACTGCCTTCTTAGAAGTGCCAGGGTCACCCTTTCAGCATGTCGCACATACTGCTCACTCTCTAAATATCCCTGGCTTTGTGCTCCACTTTGTCTGATTTCCAAATTGCCTTTAAGAAGAGAAAAGATTTCGTCAATCAGCACTTTTGGTGGATTTAAATACAGATGAAAGATAATGTTTTTAAACTTCAGCAATAGGGAAGAGGACTGAACTCAACTGGGATGAGGCTTTCATCCTCAAAGCCAGAGTTTTCAAACCAGAGACCACCCTGCTGTACACAGCTTTACCACGCTGAGGGTCCTTAACCTGTTTTTATAGATTTGTGGTTTTGATAAGGCTCGATTTAAAGTGAGGACTCTGCTACTAAAACAGCAACGAACCCCAGATCTGGCCAAACTCCAGCCCCTCCTGCCTTCTCCTGCTTGTTTTTGTCCTCAAAAGGGGAAATGACAGTGCTCAAGGTTGTTCAGCTGGTTCCACTAAAGCCCAGTGGACCAGAATTGCAGACCAGGGAAGGATCCTCTCTGCTCTTCCTGCCACAAAAGAGAGAGGCCAAGGAAATCACCAGCAGCCCCTCAAGCCATAATCCAGCGAGGTCTCTGGAGAAAAGAGGTAATTCCTGACACTGAGACACTTAGTCACCGCATGGGCAGTGCAAAGTGACAGAGAAGCCCTAGGTTCTTACAGACAGAAAAGACAGGAGTCCATCTTCCGGTTCCCCTACCAGGACCATCACTACTTTTCTTTGGGAATTATGTTCTAGAGATTTGCTTTCCTGTCCTGTGACTATACAACTTCTGTTATTAATTGCCCTTCTAGAAGTCCACGGGAGTGGGGCTGAGTAGCCAAAGTGCAGGCAAAAAATGTAGAAACAACCTTGTCTGTCAGAGCCATCCTTATAATGTTTAAACATTAAACCTACTCAAATGTCCAACAATTGTGAACGGTTAAGTAAAAAAAAAAATCTTTTTTTTAAAAAAAGACTACTACTATGGTGCAGGTATCGAAATCATTTGTGGAGTTATTTTAATAACACAGGGAAAAGCTTAATACCAAGTGAAAAAAGTAAGATACCAGAATTCTATTTAGCATGTATGGCCTTGACTATTTAAAAATTAGTGTGTATGACAAGGAAAAACATGCAAAAGTCCCAGGTAGCAGTATGAATTTGCACTAGTCTCCCTCATACTTTCCAATTTTCTCTAATAAAATTGGATTCCTGTTATTACCAGAAAAGGCAAGTTTAAAATATATATTTTTTACCTCTCAAGAAAAATGAAATTTGTCTCTGTGAAAGAGAAAAGTTCAAGCCTTTCCTTCAGCTGTTTCTGGGAGAAGAGGGGGCAGGGAGCCTCCGGAGCAGTAATCCCCTAGCTTTTCTCCTGGGTGAAGAAGCTTCAGCCTTCAGAGGCAGGAGGACACCAGAGCAACCCCCTGCCAAGTCCCCTCCTCAGAAAGCAGGAACAGATTAGTGAGTGGCTCCTCATTCTTCAGACCCACTCACTAGACAAAAAGACTTCCTTGGGAGTCGGGATGAACAGGCTGGGTTGCAGGGAACAGGGGCCACAGAGGCACCCCAAGATGAATGATCACAGATACTCCAGCAGGTCTCACTGCACTCTTGGGAGGGGACAGAGAGTAAACCTGGGAACAGGGGATCCTGGCCCTGGGGAGAAGGGAGTAGGTGAGCAACTGAATGCAACATCGTACGCTGTGTATTTCCTCTTCTCCTCTGTCTTCTTCCACATCACAGCCACTGTGGCCCACTGAATGGCCTCCTATCTGTTCTCTGTGCTTCCACTCTGCCCCCACCCAGCTCCCCAGAATAGCCACTTCACTTTTCAAACATAAATACTGTTATGGCATTTCGTTTCTTAAAGAAATTTCTGGGACTGCCTGTGAAGAGTTCTTGGAGAAAAATATCCTAACTGCCCCAGTGCTTTCCTGATCTAGCCTCTCTCCACCTTTCTGGGCTCAACTCCTTAAACGTCCACTCTTCTCTTTTCCGTAACAGGTAGGATTCCGTTGAGAAATGTTTGTCAAATAGACAGATTGTGATCCCTAATAATTTCATTTCTAAATAAATTCGCAAACCAGTGACTGTATTAAAGATTTTTCTACATAGCACAGATTTTGTGGTGCCCCTTGGTAGGATTTCCCTCAAACGCATATATAAAAAACAGATTTCCTAACAATTAATAAATCCTACTATCAACGATGCATGTTTTCCTTCCTATCTCAGGGCTTTAGAATTTGATGTTCCCTTTGCTTGGAATGTTCTTTCTCAAGCTCTTCAAACAGTGCAGAGCTCTTCAGAAAAATCTAAGTTCAAGTATCAGATCTTCTAGAAAGCCTTCCAGATCCCTTCCTTTTAAACATTCCAGAGTTCCTTGTCATGAGTTCTAACTGCTCAGAGTGTCTATCCCAGGCACTGACAAGTGATTATTTTTACATTTATTTGTGTAATTCTGCCTGCTGTCTTTCTCCTAGTGTGTATGTTCCACGTGGGTAACGGCTGTATCTAGTTTGCCAGCCAATACATAGCACAATGCCTCTTCCATTGTAGGTCCTCAAGAAAGTGTGTGAAGTGTTTAATGCACACTTAAGAAATGGAGTATCTGGGGGTCTGAAGCCAATGGGATTGGTGGAGTTTCTTCAAAGTCAAAGCTGTGATGGGCACGGTGGTGTAC